CAGATTTCCGTGTTAGTACTTCAATATTATCAAATAACTGAGTTCTCAGCTGTTTTGCAGAGCAAGGAGCCCGAGAAGTGGGGATCACGTGATGTTTGTACGCGCAAAGAAGTTGCGCAGAAGCCTAATCATGACTGAGAAAATATTTTTTTTTTACTAACAAGCCGATTATTATTAAAAATACAAGATACGTGAAAATCATACAAAATATTCAGTACTTTCATAAATATATCCGTGATTTAGGCACTCGAAAACATAAAAATTTGCAAAAATATCCAGGGCAACACAAACAAATTTTTTTTTGTAGAGCTGTGTTATATATTTAATAACTGATCAAAATTTGAAAATGATGAATGCAATCAAAAATTCTACACAAATTGTTTTCTGTTTTTCATTTGGTAGGTTCATTTGAATTATTTATTGGTTGTACAGTATATTTTTCAGTATTACCTATACAGTTTTTATATTCGTATTATCAGAGTATCATCCGAAACTTCACCCCCCACCTATTTTTTTTCAATGGCAAGGGGGGTCGAGTGATACATCACTTAAATAGTGTTTTGTCAATGGAGGTCGAAATGACCTCCATCTAGTTCCATACAATAATACAGTCTATTTTCGAGAGCGTTCCTCACAAACTCCCCCAAACTCAGTTCAGGTCCTGACGGAATCCCAAATATTTTCCTAAAAAATTGTATATACTACTCATCCTCAGTACCTTCTATTCAAGAATTCCTCAGATCAGGCAGTTTATCCAAATTATTGGAAACACAACTTTATTATTCCAATTTTCAAATCGGGTGGCAAGGAAAATATACAAAATCATCGAAGTGTGTGCAGCCAGTCATCTTTTCCAAAATTATTTGACAGTATAACTTCAGATCAACTTAATTTCTCATGTAGGGAAAGATTGATCAATAATCAACATGGCTTGTCTCGAATAAGTCGGCTGTTTCTAATCTTCTCATCTACGACCAAAAAATATTGAATGTCATGGAGGGTAGAGGTCAGATAGATGCCATATACACTGACTTTTCCATGGCATTTGACAGAATAAATCACAATATTCTATTGAAGAAGATCGGAAATTTTGGTTTTACAGAACATTTGGTAAATTGGTTCGGTAGTTTTTAGGCTGGTCGTTCACAAAAGGTTGAAATTGGAGGATGCAAATCGAGTGATATATTAGTAATATCTGGAGTGCCACAAGGATCACATTGTTCACCTCTGTTATTCAATATTTTTGTGGATGACATAGGACAAACACAATACAACACACGTTTTTCAGACGAAAGTTATTTCATGTTGAATGGTGAAGTGAATAGACTTAATTTTCGTTACTAGAGCGATGTGAATTCTCATTTGGTGATGGAAACACATTCACAAACTACACAAAAATTGAATGTCTGGGACGGCATTCTTGGTAATGATATTGTTGGACCATTCTTCATTGAAGGTAATCTCAATGGAGACACATACTTCAATCTATTACAAAACTGTGTGGATCCTATGATTACACAAATTTTAGAAAACGATGACAATTTCGTAGAAAATGAAATAACATTCCAGCAGGATGATGCACCCTCACATTTTGATATTCGGGTGAGACAGTTTTTGAACGAATATTTTCCAATGCGTTGGATCGGCAAAAGGGGTCCAGTGGAGTGGCCAGCTAGATCACCTGATTCTCACACCGATGGACTTCTTTCTGTGGGGACACCTGAAGTCGAAAGTGTACTCTACTAAGCCTACTAATCTAAAAGACCTGCGACAGAGAATTGTTCGGAAATGCCGATTCATGACTCCGGACATCATGAATAATGTACGGAACGCTTTCGAGACTATACTGTATTATTGTATGGAACTATTGTATTTATATGTTGATTTTGTTTCCACTATTATTTGTTGTTGGTTCAAATGATGTATCACTCGACGCCCCATACCATTCAAAAATAATAGGGGGATAGTTGCTGACCGCAGCTAGGTGAAGTTTCAGGTATGATTTTCATATCAGAATTAGTTTGTCTAGAAATAAAAATTGACTTGTTCTTTGAAATTTTCGATAACATGTCCGTTTCTGACTTACAGAAGAAAATCATTGTTTGTTTGTCGAACCTTTGGATTTTCTAACTGATGAAGGTAACTGTTTCCTCTGCTTTCTAACGAGTTCCTTCTATTAGCTACGATATCATTTTTTATTGAACTTGCAGTTTTCAGCGCAAAAAAATATTCTTATAGGGAATAAAATTCACCTTCCATAAAACAGTTTCGATCTATTTTTCTCATCGATTCAAGGAATTTAATATTTATTGTATCTATATTTCAGGCAGACAGTTATACAAATGTCAGATTAGGTCGTCATCTTTTCGTTGGCACGGTAATATTTACTTATAGTATTTCAAAATAAATGTGATTTTTCTGCTTCTGACACTCATCAGCTCCTTTTAAAATGTTTCAATATCCTTTTTCAAACTCAACTGTTGAAAAGGTTTAAAAAAGCGCATTGATATCAGTGGTGCAAATTATCGTTCTTCATCACCTGGCCATTGTCAAGAGATATTTGATTTTTGAACGTTTCCTTCGAAATAAAACTTTTTTAGAAGTGGAAACATTCTGGCCGATTTGAAATGTAAATTTTCACGACCCAGGAGAGAACCCCAACTAAATCAAGGGAAAAGCTTTCCTCCCATATATTGGAAATGTTACAGACCGGATTGGGAAAATCTTAGTAGTGAAACACGACGTGAAACCAACATTTAGGCCAACAAAAACTACCAGACTGAGTCTTAGGTCAGCTAAGAACCCCAAAGAACCTTTAGCAACACCCGGAGTATAACGGATTCTTTGTAACTACGGGTCGGTCGACTCGGGCAAATTGAAAAATTAGCTGTAGCCCAACATGCTCTCAATAAAGAAGGCACTTACATTATCTCAATCGAAGATACAGTAATACTCGATCAAATTTCTATCCAAAAGTATAGTGTTAGGAATCACACGTTAAAATGTAAGACCTCGTTAATCCTTGGCTCGCACAAGTTTCTACTTCTGAGGGTTGTCGTTCGTAGGGGTGCGACAGCTGGTTAACGAAAAAACAGGACACATATAGACACAGGCATAATTTCAATAGAGAAGAAGAGGCAATCAACATCAATAAAATCTGGCTACCTGTCCTTACAGGTAAACAAATAAGGTTAGGTAATTCAATCAAGAGAAACCACTAATAATAATATGAAACCAGAGGCAAATACTACTATAGTAGATACCGCGTTCGGAATGGGAACAATAACTCGAGCACCAACACAGGCAGTGCGATCGTTACTACATCGCATTCGATAAAGTTTAGTGCAATAGTAGACGAAACGTCAGATATAACAACCTGCAGACCACGGCCAAACTGTACGGAAAATAGATTCGACAAAGATCTTTTTATTATTTTCTTCTTTATCGTTTTCTTTAATTTGGTTGTAGCTCCAATAGTGGAAACCGAAGGTAATATAATTTTTGAATTACAGAGAATACAATGTTGTACTATAACTACCCTCGGAAAAATTTGCGAAAACAGCTGCTGCACCATTAGATACTGTAAAGCAATCTTCGAGGATGATCAAAAAGTAAACGAGGGCTGGTAGACGTTAAAAGTCACAGCATTCTGAAAATGACCTCTGACTTTATGCCTCCAACTGTCAACTACGAACTGCCTTGTAGAGAGGACTGAATTCTCTGGGATTTGGAAATATTAAGAGCAGATAGTTGTAGGTTCGCAGATGGATAAAAACAACATCAGGCTCTGGTGCAGGTGTTTTCAATTGCATGATCAGGACAGAGATATCAACCTGCCTAGGGACTTATGCGAGTGTATTTCAAGTGGAAATCTGTGTTATCGAGTTGTGTGCGGAGAGATTGGTAGAGTCGATTCTCACACACAATTCAATAAAAAATTTGTCGGACAGTCAAGCGGCGCTGGAAGTCTTGGCTCTTACCGAGCAACGTCTGAATTAGTAGCAAATTGCCTGAAACGACCCTCCGCAAGAGAAAGACTCAACAGGTTATCTATGGTCCTGGCTGCTGACTCCCTTGCAAAGGAGGGTGCTGCAAACAGCTTCATCGGACCAGAACCTGTCATTGACATCGCTTTATGTTTTGCCAAACAAACATTGAACACCTGGACGGCAAAAATATTTGAGGACTTCTGGCAAAATCTTCCAGGATTAGCTCACTTCAAGGCGTTCATTCACCTATCTAAGTTTGGAACCAAACAGTTGTTGGACTACAGTAGGGATGAACTACGATGCTAACAGGCCTTGCAGGTCACTGTCATTTGAATCATCATATGCAGAGATTCGGACTGTCGGAAAACAGTGTAAGTCGCCTCTATCTGGAAAATGATGAAACAGCAGAGCATATACTCTGTGCCTGCCCCGCTGCATATCGAATCAGGTTTTCAGAGTTTGGCCGAACCACACTCTCACAATCTGACTTGAAAGATCATTCACCATACAAACTAATCGGCTTCGTTAAATGCACTTCATTCACCACCACTCAGTGGCAAGAACTAGCAAAAGCACCTACAAATCGTCGCTATGCAGCGGTTGATTTGGAATACCCATGCACGTGGAGGTAAGAGCCTACCTCCGAAGACCTCGTATGCAGGAGAAAACTAACAGATTCATCATAATTTGCCAGGATGGTGTCCTCAACTCCTTGGTCTTCCATAGTCGTATGGTAAAAAAAGGTTAATGACACCAGATGTAAAAGTTGAAAAAATCCACGGGAGTCTCACAAATTTGATGAGTTCTGGGTGAGTAATAAGGTCTTAGTGATATTCTACAATAAAACGAATATTCATGTCCACTGAAATATTAATCACAATACAATTTCAGTTACATAATGGACAGCAGGCCAGAAATTCCACCATTCAGTGAAGTGAACTCAATATCATAGAATAACGTAATGTAATGTTGATTCATCATTGAAGATTTTTCTTTAAAAATAACATACCAAGGTGGTGAAAATAAAATTGAATTCAAAATATTAGGTTCAGAAGTTTAGCTCGGTTTTGAAGCTGCATATGTCATTGAATATTCATTCAATTTTGTACTCTGCACATTGATGCTCATTTCTTTCCAAATTTTTATTTTTTGCCTCCTTTCGGTTTATTACTGTACAATGTTGTTAAGCGATTTTCGACCAATTTTTCTAAACGAATTGGAATTGAATCGAAGCGCTCCCGAAACAGCCTGAAAAATTAACCAAGCATTTGGCAGTGATAGTGTTAATTATCCGACGTTGGTTTGCAAAATTTTGTTCCGGGGATTTCAGCCTAGAAGATGATCCTCGAAGTGGTTGACCCACAGTAAACCAGGAATAGTCTAGTTCATATGTACTTTTTTTTGAAACATTTTTCAGCCCTGTCCAAAAATTACGACCAAGGTGTCATTCAATTCGTATTTTTGCCTAGAAAGTT